TGTCCAGGCCTACACGAGATGAGGCAGGATAAAGAGGGATAATCCCCCTCGATCCCAAATCATTGAGGCCAATTTCTAGCCATAGAATAATGGCGCGAACCCTGTATATCGTAGTTTAGATATCCAACTGTGAGTAATCTATCGATATCGATAGCACAGACAATTTTAATGTGAAGATATTAGAAATATTATACTATTATTTATGAGTACTTCAAATATTTAGAATGTTGAAAAATATCAGTTTCGTTGGACTTATTGTCAAATAGTTCTTAATCGATATTACTGTTTTTGCATACAAGTCACAATGATTGTGAACGCGCCCCAGCTTTTGACGTTTGGCAACATTGACACAATTAAATTAAAAATGGTAAAATAAAATCATAAAATCAAACCTATGCGCCATAAGATGGCCGTCAGTTATCATTATAAAAACAAAACTATCTTGATATTGATATTCTAAAGTTGTGAGTAGTCTGGAAAAGTTTTGTAACAAATCGGTAAAGGCTGGTTGGCAACCCTGCCTACGTCGCCCCAAGAACTCTCTGTAATCTATGGCCTATGGCATGGCCATAAGAAGGTTAGAAGTGACTGCTGACGAACTTGTATTCTTTTTATACTCAAAAGAAGATTGTTGTAGTTGTAGAGCAATGAGTGATGTTAAGGAAACTTCGTGTAGACTTTGCATTAAATCTATATTAGATACAAGTTTTGAAGTGGTAGACAACGTTATCAGAGACATTTTAGATGTTGTTTTGCTGAAATTGGTAAGTCGGTGAAATCTAATTAGATTAGATCCTAGCAGTCTCAAACGTAAAGCAGCCTTTAGTATTTAATTGTTATTTTCCAGTACACTTTCTTTCTGTTTAAATTTGCATATTTTCCAGAAATTTGATAACGAGAGCAAAGAGGTTATATGTAGCGTTTGCAGAAGAAAGTTAAATGCGGCGTTAGAATTTAAGTTGACCTGTCTGAATACCGATTACACAATTATTCCTTATGTAGATAGCAAAAAAATGTTACAGCTCAACTTAAGAGAAGTGTACATGCAGGAAAAGAAAAGCGAGTTAGTTTGCAGTCAGAAAATATGTCGATTGTGTATGCATCCAGTAGAAAGTGAGTTTAGGTGCATTTGTGAAGAGGAACTTGAAGCTATCGAGAAACTGGCTCCTGAACTGGTATGAACGATATTAAATACTTGCATTTCTCAGAATTTAGAAAACTATACTTTGCAGATTATAAACATCATCAAAGATCCCGTTGTATGTAAGGAATGTTTTGATTCTGTGTGTACCCACAACAGTTTCCTAAAAAATTGCTCGGAAGTACAGGAAAAAGTTAGATGTCTTTTTAATAGCGCAGCAACAGAAAGTCAGATAGACACTTCACCATCCGATTTATTCGTTAAGACTGAGAACTTGGATAAAGAATTAGATATTAACGAGATGGAAATGTCCATCAAAGCTGAAAGTATCGACATCAAATCAGAAGAAGAGGAAAGCAGGTAAGAGAAGATAATTATAAGATTACATTGGTAAACAATCTTTAAGAGTTAGGTTAACAAATTATTAGGAAAAAATGTAAGGTCATTATAAATAAATCAGTATGGCTTTAAATCAAATACAGTGGCGGTCCGTGGGTTTGACTACAGGGGGGGAGTGCATTTTGAAGAGTGGAGGTATATACGTGGAGCTGTGGGGGGTTCTTATATTGATGACTCTTTCGTCACGCGTAACATCTTCAACAAGAGGCAAACTATTTCCAATGTTTTCAACTGATTTTTCAAACTTTTCCATTGCCATTTGTATATTTGCTGGATATGTTTGAATTTTTTGTAACTGGTTGTACAAAATATCTACACGTGGCATAACTTGCGCAAAAAAAATTAACCAAAACAAAAAACAATCACCGCACAACATGCTTACACGATGGACTCGGATTGTACGGCTATCATTTTTCAGAATAAAGCTACGAAAAGTGAGGTTCATCTTTTTTGCTGTTTTTCTAGCAATATTACTAATGAAACTATAGACTTCCTTACNGTTTCCTAAAAAATTGCTCGGAAGTACAGGAAAAAGTTAGATGTCTTTTTAATAGCGCAGCAACAGAAAGTCAGATAGACACTTCACCATCCGATTTATTCGTTAAGACTGAGAACTTGGATAAAGAATTAGATATTAACGAGATGGAAATGTCCATCAAAGCTGAAAGTATCGACATCAAATCAGAAGAAGAGGAAAGCAGGTAAGAGAAGATAATTATAAGATTACATTGGTAAACAATCTTTAAGAGTTAGGTTAACAAATTATTAGGAAAAAATGTAAGGTCATTATAAATAAATCAGTATGGCTTTAAATCAAATACAGTGGCGGTCCGTGGGTTTGACTACAGGGGGGGAGTGCATTTTGAAGAGTGGAGGTATATACGTGGAGCTGTGGGGGGTTCTTATATTGATGACTCTTTCGTCACGCGTAACATCTTCAACAAGAGGCAAACTATTTCCAATGTTTTCAACTGATTTTTCAAACTTTTCCATTGCCATTTGTATATTTGCTGGATATGTTTGAATTTTTTGTAACTGGTTGTACAAAATATCTACACGTGGCATAACTTGCGCAAAAAAAATTAACCAAAACAAAAAACAATCACCGCACAACATGCTTACACGATGGACTCGGATTGTACGGCTATCATTTTTCAGAATAAAGCTACGAAAAGTGAGGTTCATCTTTTTTGCTGTTTTTCTAGCAATATTACTAATGAAACTATAGACTTCCCTACATAGCCGAACGCAGAAAAAAAATATCTTCCAGAATCGATAAAAAAATATATAGTGTGCCATTTGACCAAAAACAGTTGACTATAGCAATTTTGACATACGTTACCATGGAGACGATCTAATAATGTCATTTGATAGAGTTTGAGCGGCGATTTAAAAATACACAGGGTTAACTATCACTTAGTAAAAATAAGATTTAACAGAATCGACTTTCAAAAAATTTCTAAAATTATTTTTAAACCGGAAAATATTTGATTTCTAAACCTCAGTGAAACCCCTATTTCACGACGGCTATGGGCGTCCGTCAGGCGCGAGATGCGAATTTCGCATACGGCAACGGTAGTGAAACAGCGCCGCGTTGCCACGTGTATCGATTATCCGCGCATTTGAAGAAAAACTTATTTACAAAATTCGTTTTCAAGTTTTACACTAATAAATAATAGTAAACACAAATAATTATTTACTAAAAGTAAGTACGTGAACAAAAACACAAACACCGACAAAGCGACAAATTATTTGAACTCGACAGCTATTTGTTCTGTGAAAATAGAGTCGTAAAGTCACCTATTGAAAATGTGAAACGGCCCCATATCTAGGCAAGTAGCGTAAGGCAGTGGCGGCTCGTGGCTTTTTGAGATGGGTGGGCAAAATATTTTTTCTCTCATGTAACTTAATATCATATAATAATTGCAATCTACGTTAGTCTATTTACTTTTGAAAGTATAAAAAATTTAAGAATTATGAAAATAGTTAATATAAATATACCTGAAAATTATATTAGTTATTCCAAAAGTATAATAGTTCAGCAAGAACAAACGAGAATGTCATCACAGTGATTTCTTGCCGGGATAGGGGCTAAGGCAAGGATTAAGGCATAGAAGGACATATAAAAAATAAAATAATTCTCTAAACAAATAGTAAAATTCTCTATCACTTTTATAGCAATAACACATACTGAAATTACTAACGATAAATTATACTAAAATTCTAATAAGTAAATAAATAAATTAATAAATAAGTAAATAACCAAATCAATAAGGCGCTTTACAATATCTCTATTTTCGTCCACGACTTTGTTATGGTTTAAAATATTCTCACAAAATGCAGAATTAAGAAAAGTTTAAATGTTTTGTTTTCCTAATAATTTAAATTTTAATGTCGAATATGTATGCTCCTCCGATTGCTCGTGTTTTTTAGAGATTCATTTATATGTTTCAGATCTGAATATCCTAGATAATTCCATGGAGTTTAACTTTTTTCATTAAACTGTAAGCAATTCCAACAATATAATTTGTTTCTGGTTTCAATACCTTTCATATTTATTGTACCAATTTTTCCTAAATGATCTGCTACTTCCGCAATTGTTTTTATTTATTAAATTTTTCATGTCAGCCGAAGGTTTTAATTTTGAAATAAATAATTTATCGTCGAAAGTTAACATACAAATTTTTTTATACAGGGTGTTTCAGAAAGACCTCCCGTAAATTCAGGGGGTGATAGTATGACAAAAAATAAGAATTTTTTATCTTATGAACTATATGTCTATCTCCTCTTGTTTCCGAGATACAGAGCGACAAAATAAAATTTTTTAAATAGAATTTTTCCGAAAATTTCCAAACGGTGCGAAATATTTTTATGAAATTTGGTATTCCGTGGTTTTTAAGGACGCCAAATACGCTGGTCTAATTATTTTTTGTATATTTTATAGAGGGCGCTAGTTACGCTACATTCATATTACATTTTAAGTTCTAATTTTTTTGAGGTTAGTTTTTTTAGCATTCGGACTCCAATTTCTAATGTACAATTTTATTTTCTAAAAATAATGTACTCTTGTTAGAACTTCCTAATGTGGACGGTCTTCGCGAAAAAAGGCTTTTAATTGAACTCTTACAATATTACGTTGTAGAAAATAAGTGACCTTTCTTAAAGTAGGCTTATGCCAAAACTTATTGGTGGATGTCTCATAACCAACGCATACATTGTCAGTAATATTTTACTACAGTCACTAACAATCACTAAAATTTTGATATAAAGTTAATTAGAGTTTAAAATATTACTGACAATGTTTGCGTTGTTTATGAGACATCCATCAATAAGTTTTGACATAAGCCTATTTTGAAAAAAGTCACTTATTTTCTTCACCGTAATATTGTAAGAGTTCAATTAAAAGCCTTTTTTCTCGAAAACCGTCCACATAGGAAGTTCTAACAGGAGTAATTATTTTTAGAAAATAAAATTGTACATTAGAAATTAGAGCCCGAATGGTAAAAAACCTACCCTTAAAAAAATTAGAACCTAAAATGTAATAGGAATGTAGCGTAACTAGCGCCCTTTATGAAATATCCAAAAAATAATTAGACCACCGTATTTGGCGTCCTTAAGAACTCCGGATTACTAAATTTCATAAAAATATTTCACACCGTTTGGAAATTTTCGTAAAAATTCTATTTAAAAAATTTTATTTTGTCGCTCTGTATCTCAGAAACAAGAGGAGATAGACATATAGTTCATAAGACAAAAAATTATTATTTTTTGTCGTACCCTCACCCCCTGAATTTACGGGAAGTCTTTCTGAAACATCCTGTATAATGAAAAATTAACAATATCACCATTGCTACTCACCAATTCGCGATTTTCAGCTTGCCATTTTGCTTTACTCCAAACTATTAAACAATAAAAACTTACCTAAACTACTACTACTATTCCTAACCTAGAACTTACAAACAACCAAGTCGTGAAGTACAAGGAATAAAAAATCTCTACCTAATCTATGGAATAAAACTAACATCAAACCGCAGATTACACGTAAGTACCCGAAGAATATACGAGTGAAGTCGAAGGGCTTGCCCGGAGAGTAGAGTTATTNCTAACCTAGAACTTACAAACAACCAAGTCGTGAAGTACAAGGAATAAAAAATCTCTACCTAATCTATGGAATAAAACTAACATCAAACCGCAGATTACACGTAAGTACCCGAAGAATATACGAGTGAAGTCGAAGGGCTTGCCCGGGAGTAGAGTTATTTTACGTAATTATGTATATTCAAATGATAATTTATTAAAAATCTGATTGAAATAAAAAAAATATATTAAATAGAAGATATTTTTTTTAAACTGAACAGTTTCTTTATTATTAGAAAAAATAAATAAATATGTATCGAATTTAAATGTCCTAAAAATAATTTATATCACTTCCATATTTACAAACTCGTCGAATCTATTAAAATATTGAAAATTTCTCAGCCATCACTCGTAATTTAGTTTAACAGTAACGCGTTAAAATAACCTTAATAATAATTATAATTGTCGAAGAACATTCAACATGACGGCATAGATATTTATTTTTTAACGCGATTTACAAATTATTATAAAACGGTTTATTACTTCGTTTATAATATTAAAAATTGTTTTCTGGAATACCTTTGCAGGGAAAAATTGTTCTAATGTTCAAAAATTCATTTAAAGAACAAAATTACATCACATAAATATACATATATTCCAACCGCTGCTGGCTGGCTGGTGAAAAGCCGTAGCTGGCCGATACAACACTCCATGAGTATATGCGGGCTGTGTCCGGGCTCGCCCGACTTGGGCCAGATATTCTAAATTAGTGAACGACTTACGTTTCCGATTACTTTCTAGTCCTAGCCACAAAATCTGCGTATAAGCAGGCAACGTACGGCGTTGTTTAATTCAGCGGCCACGGGCTGGCCCGAATGTTATGTTGGTTGCTGCCGAGATCATCCCAAAAATAATTTACATCACTTCCATATTTACGAACTCGAATCTATTAAAATATTGAAAATTTCGCAGCAATCACTTTTAATTCAGTTTAACAGTAACGAGTTAAAATAATATTAATAATTATAATTATCAAAGAACATTCAACATAGCACCATAGATATTTATTTTTTAACGCGATTCACAAATTATTATTAAACGGTTTATTATTTCGTTGACTAAAATTTGTTTTCTGGGATACCTATGCAGGGAAAAATTGTTCTAAAATTACAGCAAATAAATATACGTATATATATTTCCAGCCACTGGTGAAAGGTCTTAGGTGGCCGATATAACACTCGATGGGTGCTCAATGGGTATACGCGAGCTGTGTGCGGTGTGCGGGCTCGCCCGACTTGGGCTAAATATTCTAAATTAGTGAACGACTTATGTTTTCGATTACTGTCTAGTCCTAGGTGCGTATAAGCATGCAAGTTATGGTTGGGGTACGGCGTTGTTTAATTCAGCGGCCACGGGCTAGCCCGAATGTTATGTTGGTTGCTGCCGAGATCATGATTAAAATATAATTTTAAAATTTGGTAGCGGGAGTTTCAAAAGAGGTAACGCATTTTAGATTTAATTTTATAAGAATTGTCAAATCACTTTGGTAAATATATACACAAATTTTTGTTTATTCTTCTGAAATTTTCAGCTTTAGAACCAGCTGATTTCCCCAATCGTCTTGAATTTTGCAGTGGCAGCTAAATCGAAGTGCAGCAGTCGCTAACTTTATTTTTATTTTTAAAACAAAGTGCGCTGGACGGATGAAAGCTGTTTTACTCGTGCTGACATTTTAAACGGGTAAAAAACATATTACTTTCTCAAAAACAATAAGTACCTACCACCTGGGTTACACCAAAGTTTATATTTACATTAAAGTTTACATTTATTATGCAAACTTCGGTTATACGCAACTGCATCTTGAATAATAAATTGAAATACTAAAACTGTGTACAATTCAATTTATGTTCATATTCTGTAGCGATTACGTTTACAGATTTTATTATACTTAGGGTATTTTGTGTTCTTCATTTATTTATTTTTTCTGTTCATTCATACTGTTTCTAGGGGTTAAGTTGAAAAGCAGTTTTAAACTGACACTTCGCCCCTTTACAAGCTTATTATTTTCTATTTGCTTACATGTATGTACTTGAGCTAAATAATTGTAATAAAAGACATTTATTATTATTATTATTATTATTATTATTATTATTTAACATAATAAATTATAAAACGTTAAAACGTTAATAATATTAAAAATGATAAATTGTAATAACCGTACGTTGGAAAACAATCATCCCGATTCATTACATTTTCCTTTGATAAAAGACCGACAACTTTTTGCTCTATGGAATGCGATCCTACTACAGTTCATATTAGTCTAGCAGCCAGATAGGGTTCCGTTTACTAGCTATAAAAATAAAAACTTTTTACAGCCATTTAAACATTTAATTTGTTGATAACAATTAAACTCACCACTTTCAGGCTTTGCGACCAAGTTTTTTGGATTCAGGAGTTTAAAATACTACGAATAAGTTGTTTGCAGCCGTGGCACTCTGTTGGCCCTATCTGGCTGCTAGACTATGCACACGTACACGTACAAATTAAAAGTGGGTCAAATAAAAAGGTTATTGACCCTAGATACAGGTTACCCTAGGTCGGAAACACTTACCGAGTTGTTTATTTGTCTCCGTCCGATTGTTTTTTTATTTTCTATTAGTTACAGTCAATATTTAAATACTTCACCCTCTCTTTATAATTTATCTAGTGAGTGTTGGTTTTTTATGTCATTATTTCTGTAATGAAATTGAAATTATTATATGGCGATCGTTTAATAAAGCCGCATTTTCTACCTGAACATCTGAATGGGCCGCGTTACTTTCAATTTTAGTAGAATTGTTTGAAAACCTTCCCCTTCAGATGGTAACGGTAAGGGTAATTTATTTGAACATTTGCCAGAATGCTTACAGCAAATTAAAAAATTAATATTATGTTAATAAAAACTGATGTTTGGCAAGGCATGCTCAGACCTCCTCGAGGTTCTTGCTGGGCAACAATAACAATTTAATGTGTTGATTGCATAATTATAAAACATAATTTATAGCATTTTAAATTATTATTGGCTCATATTGTCTATATGTGCGAAAATATATAAATATGGCAACGTTGCATCGTTGTTCATATCGTAGCCGTGCGCAAATTCTGAACAAGCGACTGACGTCAGCCGGTCAGTAACAGCCTGAAAAGGGGGTTAAATAATGATTTGAAAATATTTTTTTTTCTGCTTAAATATGCATTTAATTTTTTTTTAATTACGTCATCATATACTCATTTTTCTCTATCTGCTCTTAAAAATTAATGACATTATGACCGAATCACCCTGTATAACCCCTAAAAATTAAAACTTGATTTTTAAAAATACACTGTATGCAATTTTTTCAGCGACACGCCACTGCAATGCTGCGATAAGGTACCATTCGAGGAGAGTGTCTGTAAAAATGAAGAAGAGGATGGATGTAAACATGAGAATGCATCAGATGTGAAAACGAGGCAGGAGCGCAAAGTATTGTACAAATGTGATAAATGCATTTACGAAATTGGAAGTGAGATCCGTTTTACCATACCCTTTGTGAGACATGAGAACGATTCGGAAGTGTATAAACGTGAATCGTGCGAGTATAAAACTGAAAATGAGAAATCACTTCAGAGGCACCTGGTGAGGCATAAAGACCCTTCCAAGGTTAAAATGCACAAGTGTAACGACTGCGATTACGAAACTAAATACAGGGGTGATATCAAACGGCATCAACTGAAACACAAAGATCCTTCGCAGGTTCAAATCTACAGGTGTAACGACTGCGATTACGAAACTAAATACAGAAAACATGTGAAACGACACCAACTGAAGCATAAAGATTCTTCACAGGTTCAAACGTACAGGTGTAATGACTGCGATTTCGAAACCAAATACAAGAGTTGTATTAAAACGCACCAACTGAAACATAAAGATCCTTCACAGGTTCAAATGTACAAGTGTAATGACTGCAATTACGAAACTAAATACAACAAATATATGAAAGTACACCAACTAAAGCATAAAGATCTTTCACAGGTTCAAATGTACAAGTGTAATGACTGCAATTACGAAACTTTGAACAAGAGTCATATTAAACGGCACCAACTGAAGCATAAAGATCCTTCCCAGGTGCAATTGTACGGGTGTAACGACTGCGATTTCGAAACTAAATACAAGGATGATATGAAAAAACACCAATTGAAACACAAAGATCCTTCGCAGCGTCAAATCTACAGGTGTAATGACTGCAATTACGAAACTATGAATCAGAGTCATATCAAACGGCACCAACTGAAGCATAAAGATCCTTCCCAGGTGCAATTGTACGGGTGTAATGACTGCGATTTCGAAACTAAATACAAGGATGTCATGAAGAAACACCAACTGAAACACAAAGATCCTTTGCAGGTTCAAAGGTACAGGTGTAACGACTGCGATTTCGAAACTAAATACAAGAGAAATATCATGCCGCACCAACTAAAACATAAAGATCCTTCTCAGGTTCAAATGTACAAGTGTAATGACTGCAATTACGAAACTAAATACAGCAAATATATGAAAGGACACCAACTAAAGCATAAAGATCCTTCACAGGTTCAAATGTACAAGTGTAATCATTGCAATTACGAAACTAAGAACAAGAGTCATATCAAACGGCATCAACTGAAGCATAAAGATCCTTCTCAGGTTCAGATGTACAGCTGTAACGACTGTGATTACGAAACTGAAGACAAAGAGTATATCAAAAAGCATCAAAACCGAGCATAGGGAGTCTTTGAGGACACCTCAATTGATGCACAAAGAGAGGTTTGGAGGTGTGAATTGTCACCCTTTGTTCTCATCATGCGGATCATTAAAATGATTCAAATTGCCCATCTCTAGTTACGGTTAGTGAGTAACACGTAATTACAAAATTGCTGTCGCTACAATCAAGCCTAGATAAGAGCAAGTATTCAAGTTTTAAAGAAGATTTATACGTTTTAACCTAAATAAAAAACACAAAAGACGGTTAAGCTAATGTTTTATTTGTCCACAGAGAAAACTATGCACCTGTCTTTTAATTTTACAACGCATGTAAATCAGATCTTCAAGAGTTGCACCATATGGAAGTGAAAATGAATTCGACTGGTGATTGTGACGACTAGATAATTTGTTCTTTCGAGGTAGATTACGCAAATTCATAAGAAATGTGGTTTTCTATGATTTTAAGGTATTCGTCACTACGGTACGTGCCTACCGCCTTCTATACCTGTATCCGGAATTCACAGAGAAGTGCTCGAAGGAGATTTTCGTGACGTCAGACGGAAAATCAGAGGGAAAAATCCAATACAACTTCTGCCTCCTTGCATATAGCCGTTATAAAAAATGACCGAGTTGTTTGAAAAACAAAGCTCGGTAATTATTTACATTAGCGTAAAATGCACAAATCGTCACACAATTTTTCCTACCTCCCCGTTTCCGAAGGTGCTGAACACGAATCCGGTTATTTTTTAGACATATTTTCATAAATTTTATGTAAAAGAAAATGGATACTTAACGTGCTAATTGAATAGTTTATATACTTGGAATTAGTGCAAATCTGGTATCAAGAGAAAGACAATTCTAGTGGTTATATGGTTTAGTAGAAACTATAGTGCAGTAGTTGCAGCTGTAATATGTAAAGAGGAAATTAGTAAATATCCTGTACCAATTTATTTGTAGCCCTGATAATGGCATTATTGCAAAAACTGGTACGATAGTGGTAAGTATATCCCCAAAAAAGAAAAAACATTGAACAGTAAGTATAAATAGGGAACAGAATTGGACGCATTCCCCTAAAGAGCCGCCGATTTACATTTAGTCCAAGCATTCTGTCACGGATTAATGTTAAGTTTGCAGAAATTATTACCTGGACAAAAAAATATGACCGTATAGAAAATTAAATTTTAAATCGAGTTTATTGTTCTTTAAACTTGATCCAAAATGGGGAACATGGTTAAAAAAAATCGCAAAGTTGCAAAAACGGTTTTTCTAAAATAACTAAAAAAATATAGCACGGATTGAAAAATTTTAAATGAGGAAAGTTGTAGGTTTTAAAAAGATCTATCGACTGATTTTTTGTAAGTATCGATTGCTTTGTTACTTTTCGAGATATATCGAAAAAACCGTTAAAAATCTTCTCTTTTCTCTTCTTCTATAACTCGTTTACATTTACGTCCCATATTTGCTATTTACTGCAAGCATAGCCCGCGGCAAGCCAAAAAAGTACATTTTTGAAAAATTTAAAAATATTAATTATTTTTCGAAATATCGATTTTTTAAAAAAAAGGCACCCTCGAAAATTGGCTAGATCTTCTCAGCGGATAGCCCTACAGTGACGATTTTCGTTTATTTTCTTCGTAAAGAGTTATATTATCATGCTGTTAAAAAATGTTGACGATTTTATTAATTTTAAGGATCAAAAAATGACTGAAAAAGTTGCACTTTTTTTGGGTATGTTTTTTTCAAATTGCTATTCCAATTTTTATTTTATGAAAATGACTTAAAGAACGAAACTGCTGACATTTTTTCACGAATTAAAAAAAAAATGTTTTTCTACGACCTGGAGCCGAGATAATTTTTTTTATTTAAAAAAAATTTTGATGACGCAATTAACATTTTACAGCGATGCGCTTGATGGAGGTTAATATTGAATACTTATATTTAAAAAAAAAAAATAAGATGTTTACTTGATTTCTAGTATTAGTAATTGAGTAATAAACTAAAGCGTGCAAGTGCTGAGTGCATCAGTTGGACCGGACGGAGAAGTAGGGGGAAGCGGCGCGCGCTCACTCTAAAAACTGAAATGACGGAGTCTAAATGGTTCGCACTTGCAAAATCTTTGATATCTCGCCTTCTGGACCACGTACAAAAATTATTTTGTACTTAATCCGGGGTAGCTAACCACAAATATTATAGTCGTTTTCGCCTTAGAAGCAAATTAGTCCCGTAAATGTTTACCAGATACTACCCAGATTAAGTACAAAAGAATTTTTGTATGTGGTCCAGAAGCCGAGATATCAAAGATTTTGCAAGCGCGAGCCATTTAGACTAGTGCTGGCAACTGAAATCGGTTTTTTGGATAGTCGGTTAACCGATTTCGGATAATTCGGATTTTTACGAAACCCGAAAACCGGTTATTCGATTCTTCAACTATTCAAATAACCGATTATCCGGTTTTAGCAACTATTCGACTAACCAGTTTTATCTGAAATCGGTTTTTACGGAACCCGGTTAACCGGCTTCACTTTTTTCCGGTTTTTGCCAGCACTAATTTAGACTGCACGTCATCAGTTTTCAGAGCGAGCGCATGCCGCTTCCCCCTACTTCTCCGTCCGGTCCAGCTGACGCACTCAGCGCTTGCACGCTTCAGTTTATTACTAATACTAAAAATCAAACATATCCTACTATTTTATTTTTGAAAATATAAGTATTCAATATTAACCTCCATCAAGCGCATCGCTATAAAATGTTAATTGCGTCATCAAAATTTTTTTTAAATAAAAAAATTATCTCGGCTCCAGAAGGTCGTAGAAAAACATTTTTTTTTAATTCGTGAAAAAATGTCAGCAGTTTCTTTCTTTAAAAGATATTTTCATAAAATAAAAATTGAAATAGTTATTTGAAAAAAAAATACCCAAAAAAAGTGCAACATTTTCAGTCATTTTTTGATCCTTAAAATTAATAAAATCGTCAACATTTTTTAACAGCATGATAATATAACTCTTTACGAAGAAAATAAACCGAAAATCGTTACTGTAGGGCTATCCGCTGAGAAGATCTAGCCAATTTTCGAGAGCGCCTTTTTTTCAAAAAATCGATATATCTCGAAAAATAATTAATATTTTTAAATTTTTCAAAAATGTACTTTTTTGGCTTGCCGCGGGCTATGCTTGCAGTAAATAGCAAATATGGGCACGTAAATGTAAACGAGTTATAGAAGAAGAGAAAAGAGAAGATTTTTAACGGTTTTTTCGATATATCTCGAAAAGTAACAAAGCAATCGATACTTTCAAAAAATCAGTCGATAGATCTTTTTAAAACCTACAACTTTCTCATTTAAAATTTTTCAATCAGTGCTATATTTTTTTAGTTATTTTAGAAACACCGTTTTTTGCAATTTTGCGATTTTTTTTAACCATGTTCGCCATTTTGAATCGAGTTTAAAAAACAAGAAACTCAATTTAAAATTTAATTTTCTATACGGTCATATTTTTTTGGTCCAGGTAATAACTTCTGTAAGCATTTCTCTATGATGCTTGGACTAATTTCTATGTAATGATTGTGGTAAAAGCTTGAAAATAGTACCAGATGTCTTGATTAAATTAGAAGAATTGCAAAATCGAATATTAAATCAATCCAACAGATCAATCCAGCTCAACCACAAGCTGAAAATGAAAATAGCCAGGCAGAGTATATTGAGGAAAGGGAAAATGTGATTGCAGAAATAATGGAAAGACAAAGAAGAGCTTCTAATATCATAATATCCGATATAAAGGAATCTCTGGAGAAGTCACGTGAAAAAAGATTGGAAGAAGATAAAAATAATGTAATAGATATGTTGAAGAAGATTGAAATTGAAATGGATTATTTAAAAATAAAAAAATTTTGACTCGGAAAAATAGACTGATTAAAGTAGTGTTGAATGATCCTAATGATGCAATGACAGTCCTTCGAAATAAAACAAAAATTGCGGCTCCAAGTGTTCGAATATATGCCGATCAAACAAAACAACAACAAAAATACCTTCAGTTTATTAAGCAACAATTAAATGAATTGGTTGCAATAATACTGATTGGAATAGATTCCTGTTTATGGCTGATATATATTTTCAAAATAATTAGACTTGATCCTTCATTACCTTCAGAGGTAGTTTATGCGAATGAGGTTCATCGGTATAATACGAGATTTAATAATAATTTGTATATACCAAGGTATGCCGTAAGTCAAACCGGAGATACGTTGTTATATAAAGGACTTGATCAGTACAACAGATTGCCAAATGATATCGGGAATGTCGTGTCACAATTTTTAACTAGTTTTTAATGTAACTTATTTAGTTTAATTTTATTGCATTATAAAAAGTTATATGGTGTCAAAATTGTTAACAAAAATTTTTGTATATTAGAATGTTTCCTATTTCAAATAAAGGTAATATTATTATTGTTCAATAAATTTGATTTTTTAAAATGAAGTTTGTTACGCGCCTACCATTAATATTCAGTCTTTCTCAGAACAAGAAGTAGTAAGCGGTATGAAAAAGTTGAAACACAAATTAATAGCTGGACCGGATCTTTTTTCATCACTTTCAATGATTTCTTCCATATATTTTTTCAATTTTGAGATTCTATATATATTTTCAAAAATTTTCAAAATGGTATGTGAAATAAGCTAAATTTGAAAAAAAAAACGAAAAAACCACTGAAAAAATTTGAGGATTTATAAAAAATGTTTTTTTTTAAGAAAGAAAAGAAAAATTCAAAAATGGTAATCATCGAGGAATTTTTCGAGAATTGAAAAAAAACGGATAATTTTGATCTATTTTTTTTTCAAAAAGTACATTTAAAAACAAAAAAAAACATCCCGATAACTCAATTTTTGAAAAAATTATGGTTATTTAAAAAAAAGCTACTTCAAAAATTCATGTTTTTTTTTGAGAGTCGAAAACAATAAAAAAGTTTCAGCCAAATCGAAAGGGGTTAAAAGTGGTCGATTTGGCCCGGAATGTCCCATGTTCCAATGTGAGTCAG